TCATATGTTTGCACGTATAGGAGGATTAGGAGGAACTTAACGGAGGAACAAGGGGGAGAAGAAGGGGGGAAATGGTGGGGGAAAGGGAGAGAGGCAAACCATGAGAGACTCTTGAATGCTGACAAAAACTGAGGACTGATGGATGGTGGAGGGGAGGGGGGGAATGGGCACGGAGGAGGACACTTGTGGGGATGAGCACTGAGTGTTATGTGGAAACTAATTTGACAATAAACTATTTGTAAAAAAAAAAAAAGATTAAAAGAACAGAAATTAAAAAAAAAGAAAAAAGTAAAGGAGTTCAGGTTACACCTTTTAAAAGGTGTTGAGGGAAGGCTTCCCTAAGAAGTTACTATTTCAGCAGATACAGAAGAGGTTAAAAAAAAAATTAGAAAGAGGGTATCTGATGGAAAGATGCAGGCAGAGGGAACTGACAAAGGTCCTAAAGGCAGGGGCAGCGCAGCTTGTTCCTGGAATAGCAGAGAGGCCAGTGGGAATGAGGTGAAGTGAGCGTGAGGAAGAGCAACTGGAAATCAGGTCAGAGAAGCAATCAGGGGCCTCTGAGTTAACAGGAGCTGTTTCAGGGTTTTAAGCAGAGGTATGATATGACCTGACTTGTGTCTTAAAAGGATCATTCTGGCTTCTATGTTAGAAACAGACCATAACAGGAGCAGGATGGGAGCAGAGAGATTGGTCAGGAGGCTAGTGCAGTAATCCAGACAGGAGGTGATGATGGTGGCTAGGACCAGAGTGGGAGCAAAAGTGGGGAAGAGAAGTGGTCTATTTGGGGTAGTAAAATCTACACTGTAGGGTTGTTTGAGAATCCTATGAGAAAATGACTGCAGGGAAAGTGCCTAGTAGAAGCCTAGTACAAAAAGGGTGGTTAACACCTCGTTTTTATGCTACATTTGCAGGTAGAAAAAGTTCTCTAGGCCTACAGGTAGATGAAAGCTAGAGTGTGATATCCAAGGTCAGCTGACATGAGGGTTGGCAGCTGTCCCACTGAAGGGGGAAGGGAGGGTAGACTGACCAAGGGGCTTAGTCTTCTTGCAGCCTTTGCTTCATATTCCAGCTCAAGGATGAGTATTTCCAACAACCTACAAGACACGTTCCCTTAACAGTTTTATCATGTAATCAACATCAATGTATTTATTTTTAAAATTACCTGCCTCACCTCCACCTCAAGCCAGCTACCCATCCAAATGCTTCCTTCTAAGGAAGAGGCCGAACATTTGGCTTCATCCTTGCACAATAATGGAACAAAACATGCTACCATTGGAGTTGGTATGGTAGCCATTATCTGCCTAAAACATCTCTATTTACAAAAGAAGACACAACACCCAGAAGGCAACATGATTAGCCACAGGCCACTTCCTTCAGTAGCCCTCCCCACCCTTGCCTGTCTCACAACACAGAAGTCCCTCAGATTGGCTGTCACAGGCCAGTATCTCTACCCTGGTCACTATCACAACTGTCATGACCTCCTTCCTGTTACTGTCAACTAAATCTTCCAGAAAGGATATTGGAGGCCATGGCCTACAGTGCTTTAGGTGTGCTGCCTCTGAGTTCAAATCCTTATTTTGTAATTACTAGCTGTGGGGACTAAAGCAAATTTTCTAACCTGTTCTGGCTTAGCTTCTTTGTCTGGAGAAGTTCTACCTGCCACAGCTTAAACAGAATAAGGCACATAAAGCTCTTATCACAGAGCCGAGCACAAATTAAAAGCCCAAGAACCACTAGTTATTGTGGCTTGTATTATACTCTCAGTAATAGTAAGTTCACTTTGAGAGAAGCTCCCACAGGTGCCTGGTGAGCAAATTCTCATTGCCTTGCTCTGGTCTTCAGGGCCTTGTAGCAACCAGGTCTATTACATGTATGGGAACTTTCATTGCTTTCTGTTCACAAGCTTCCAGTCAGCACAGCTCTCTAAACCTCCCCCCACCCCATTACCATGCTTGTTCCCAGTTCCCACCTCTGTGTTTTGGTTTATGCTCCTCCTGCCTGAAATACCCACTGTCCTTCTCTGTCTAAATCATGGCATACCCTTCAAAACTCCACTTGAGTTTTCGCACTTGACAATAACATCCCAAGCAAATCCTAGCTCCACTGATATTATTTCTTCTCTCCAATACTAAGTATTTGCATGCAGTATATATATATTTCTTACTGAGAGGCATGGGAGCATTCAGTTAATAGTATGGGTTCTAGAGCTGGCTACCTGGTCTCTCTCAGCCTCAGTCTCCTTATCCACACAATGGGGTTAATATTAGGGTTGTTGTGAGGATTGGATATATAAATTCTTAGTAAAAATAATCATTAATATATGTTATTATTGTATCTTGACATTAACTTTTCCATTTAAAAAAATTTTTTTTTGTTTTATTTATTATTAAAACAGAGAGAAATGGAGAATGAGCAGGGGAGGGTCAGAGAGAGAGGGAGACACAGAATCTGAAGCAGGCTCCAGGCTCTGAGCTCTAAGCACAGAGCCTAGTGAGGGGCTCAAACCCACAAACCATGAGATCGCAACCTGGGCCAAAGTCGGCTGCTCAACCAAGCCACCCAAGTACCCCATCTCTTCCTTTGTTTTAGGCACCTTCATCTTCCTCCACCAGGTTATCTCGTCTGTGTATACTATACTTTTATCCAGTGTCTTAAATCACAGCTTAAATTATGGAGCTCAGTCCTGAGAATTTTGACATCTGCCCCCAAATATTTCATCTAATAATCCATTCTAAAAGTACAGGTATACCCAAGAAAACACCACCACCTCATCTTAGAGCCCATGGATGGTACACAGTATAGGGAGCATGGTTATTAGCCAGGGTTCTGAAAGAAGAGGAAGACTGAAGAAAAACAAAGACTCCCCACTAACTAGAAACATCTGGTCTATTTCTATAGGGAGATAACATTGGGGATGGTAAGTGATTCTTGGGTTAGAACAAACAAATCAAATAGCAGGGACGATGGCTACAATGTTCCATTCACATACTCCTGAGGTACTGGTCTGTGCACAGCTACTATTCTCTTTACTTTGTGCTCCATTCAAGGGGGCCCGCCATTTACCAGGAGCCATGTTGGGTGTGAACAATATCAAGAGAGATTCTTGCACCAAGCAGCACACATCAAGCTAATGCACTGACAAGTGTTGTTCCTAAAGATGCGTACTCTATCACAGTGCAGTGATCATTGTGCTTTTTCTTTTCTTTCTTTGGGGGAATCAGGTTTAAGAAAAATAGCTACACTTTTCATGATGAGGATGGGGAGGGGTTGACCTTTTACCAGCATTGCTTCCAAAGATCAGGTAAGAACTCTTTCAAGTCAAGAAGACCACCTTACCTCTATTTTTTCCCATATGGCTTCATAGTTGTCTTGGTGTTGAATATCTTGCATCAGTTTCTGAATTAAAGCAGATTTTGTAGCAGAATGGCTCTCATTTTTCTCAGAGGATGAAGCTCTCTCCGACTTCTCATCAGTGTATTTTTTCATACCAGAGAGAGGCATACCCAACTCCTCATCAGAAAGCATGTCACTCAGGGGCCCAGATTCAATGCTCTCCCCCAACGAAGAGGCTATGTCACTAGATGAGCTTGGAGACACTCTGCCTAGCCTCGTGTGCTTCTTCTTGACATGGTAAGTTGGATAGATCTCAGAATCCGAATTCATTTCAGACAGTTCCCAGTCATCGATATTTTGAACGGTTTCTCCTCTGGGTTTCTGAGGCAAAAGCTTTGTTAGGTTTTCCAATTTCAGAGCCAAAACTTCTGTCTGCTTGAGGTGTGAGGGCAGGGCCAGGTATTCGTCAGAGCCGTACCAGGCCTCCACGACCTGACCGTTCCTGGTGACATGGCTTGGGGAGGAGGAGTAACTTTTTTTGCTTTTGTGTTTTGAAAGAAGGGGCACTGGGGAAAGGATGCTGTCTGAGCCAGCAGAAGATTCACTACTTTGAGTAAGAGGTGGTGAACTCGATGTCTCTGACTGCACTGGCAACTTGGCATCCCAATTTCTCTGGCTACATGGCTCCAGAGAGAATGTGGAAATGGAATCTGTTTCTGGCCCCTCTGAGGCCTTGGAAGTACCTGGAGGAATTCCATTCGACACTGCTGAGCTCCTCATATTTTCGGTTTGCTTGCCTGAACCAGCTTCCCGTTTGGGTGCTCGGCACAGAGGCACCTCTGCTGGGACCTTGTGTGGCTTTTTAGGTCGAGGTTTCTCTTTATGGCAGTCACTAAGCCTTCCAAGGCTGGAGGAGATTTCCTTAATGTGACTTTTGACTGTGTTCTCAAGATTCCCATCCCCCACCTTGTGCAAACACTCATATGACTGGCTGGCAGCAGACGGGCTGTTGGGGTAGGAAGATTGTAACAGCAGACAAAGCTTGGACCTGTCAGGGGGTTCCATCAGAGAAGGGGTGCTTTTGCTCAGCTCAGGCTTGAGATGAGCCATCTGATTCTTTGCATCAGTGCCTTTCATAGTATCCTTAAAAGTTTCCTCTTTAAGGAAAAGCCCTCTTTTTGGCAATGTGGGCTGCGTGGGAGAGTCCTCGTTGTAATTAAAGCAATCTCTGATGGATCGCTTGGGAGTTGCATTTTCACAAGGCAGGGGCTGTTGGTCCTTTGCCCCAAGTTGGGAGGTGGAATTGGATTCTTGCTTCACAGCCTCAGAAGGGGGTTGATCAGAATTTGTCAGAGCTTCCCCTGAAGATGATATCCCAGGCATTAAGCCTGGTGGCTCCTCAACCGTAGAAGCACTGTTTTTCTCGCATCCACCTTTGTCATCTGCTGAGAGAGATACTTGAGACTTCTCCTCACTGACTGCTTCACTGCAGTTGGAAGGGACAGGGTCAGTAGCCACCGTGAGTAACCCAACGCTTCGGATGAGCTCGGGGAACTCCTTTTCCATCTCACCGTAGCTCCAAGAGTCAAAGGGTTTGGTTTTGACCTGGCTAGAGGTCATGTCACCTAGGCCACCGAGCAAATCTTCACTTGGACTGTAGTCAGACAGTTCAAAAGCAGTAATACCACAATCCAGGGACAAGTAATTTTGAGAGCATTTGATAGTTAACTGTCCTGAGTCATCCACTTCTGTTAGAGAATCAAGCCGGCCCTGAAACAGACAAGGGAAACAGTTTCAGTAAATGCAACATCAATTACACTCTACTGCTATTCAAATGAAAACTTAGCAGAGGTCACTGTAAAAGTAAAATGCAGCTGTCTCAATTGCTTCTGGTTTAACATACAGAAAGGCATATTAATCAATTATATTGCTTTATATAGTATCCTGTTCTTAAATATTGGGTATTCCTTTAATCTGGAAAATAGAGCCTTGATAGAAATGGTCAAGGCCAAAAATATCCATTATTGCCTTAACTTTCTATTTTAAAATAGCATATAGTTCATTGAATAAAGCATTTCCCTTGTGATGCCTTATGCAATGAAATTCTGGGAATGAAGTAATGTAAGAGTAAAATCTCCATGAACATTTGTTTTGCCTATTGCTATCATTCCAGCATCTACCGCAGTGGGTAGCTTATAGAAGATGCTTAATAAATACTTTTAAGTGTATAATTAATTACACTAAATCTGTCATGTTACCTATGTATTTCAGATATATTTGTCATATTCACAAATCACAGGAAGGTGAACTGTGATTTGTATACCTCACAGAAATAGTTCAAGACCAGCTTCTGTTTGTACCCACCCTTTGGAAGGTAGACACAGGTAAACCTAGGGAAAAGTAATGAATATTAAAACCTTAGCATCTCAGTCCCTGTCCTCTCTGCCTTGGCATCCATTTCTCATCCCCACTTCCATTTGTATGTTTTAGATACCAAGTGTGTCTCTCTGTTGTTATTAATAATTCAAGATAGGCCAGTTTGATTTGAAACCCCCTTATGCCAAAAAATAGCTTTACAAGTGTTCTTAATTTTTAATCTTTAATTATGTGATTAAAGCTTTTATCTCATCACTAATGCAGTTTCTAATATCACACAAGTGGGGAGATGTTTGATTGATGATTTGCTGAAGACAGGAGGGCCCTGGAATCCTGTTATATCTACCATGTTAAGAAAAGGCTGGTCTAATCTAGCCCCTTAGGAGGTAAAGGAAGGAAACTAAAACACGAAGGGCCATTCAATCCCCCAGACCTCTTTTCTCCTGGAGGAAGACCTGGGTGAGCAAAATGAAGTCAGAGGTCATGTGGCCACTGACCTAATGTCCTTTCAGCCAGGTTATCCCAAGATCTGGCCATTCTAGGACCTTACACTGTTGTTGCTGTTGTTGTTCATTTGTTTGTTTTATTTTTGGAAATTTTCTCTCCCTTCCCACCTTCACCTTGCATTTATCTACTACTCCACTCACTGGTATTCTACAACATTCAGATAAATACTAGTAAGCATCATTTAGCTTTTCTAAGCCTCAGCTTCCTGATCTATAAGTGGGGATGGTTGATTACTACTATTACTTTTTCATTTAATCCTCACAATAACTTTCTTCTGGGGCCTGTACCACTGTCCCTGTTTTATATAAGAGGAGACTAAGTCAAAAGAAGGTATATAACTAGAATACAGGCTTGCAACTAGTGACTGAACTAGGCCTTAAATGCTGGCTTTCTGACCCTAAGTCTACCCTCTGGCCTCTATATCATAATTTTCTTTGATTCTTTGGCTATTATTTTAAACAGATGTACCCCCCTCCTCCAGTTTGTTCTTCATATTGTCACTAGAGTAATCTTTACAAATTACAAATGTGATGCTTAAAGTCTTAATTAGCTTCCTGCTGCTGGGTTAAAAATCCAAATCCTTCCAAGGACAGTCATGTAGAGGACACTCTCAAGCAATTCTCCCCTCCCTGGCTGCACACAGCCACAATGTTCTCCTTTCAGTTTTTGAATATAATGTGTTTCTTCTCCCTCAGGGCCTTTGTACATGCTATTACCTCTGTCAAGAAAGTTTGCCACCTACAACACCCGTTAACTAGTTTATTCTTACTCACCCTTCAAACCTCAGATCAAGCTTCACTTCTTCAAAATTCCAAATTCCCACCAAAGTCAGCTTTTTTCTTACAAGCTCTCATAAAACTATGTTGTTTTTTCTTTTAAGCATTTACATCAACTATAAATACATACTTTTGTGATTATTTGATTAATTTGTTTCTCCCACTATTCTGTAAGCACCACAAGAGTATCAATCACATAAAAACTGGCTGACTCACGAGAACATTTGCAACATTTGGCATACTGATGTGCATACAGTAAGTATTCACAGATACAACTGTTGAATAAATGAATGGGTGGGTGAATGATATTTTGGAATGTATCTCTATGCCTTCATGTAATTTCTTCTTCTGATTAGGCAGATTTAACTGATTCAAGTGACCAAAAGCCCAAGTTTCAGAGCCAATTCTAGCTTCAGCACTAATTAGCTATGTGACCATCAGCCAGTAGTCTGATGTCACTAAACCTCATTTCCTTCATCTGTAAAAAGCAAATGATATCCCATGTCAAGGGCAGTTATAAATTTTAAAGGAGACATTATATGTGAAACATAAGTCTGGCACATAGATAGGTGCTCAATGAATGTTCACTCTTACTACTTATTATATTATTACTTTTACTAATCAAGTATATTGAGGGGGAAAGCTTCATCAAAATGAGAGGTATCCCTATGCTAAATTACATTGTACAAAATGAGAAACCAATATTAACTGCCAATCTCAACAAAAATATCTAAATGAAATTGTGTGGCTCTTATGTTTCATTCCTGGACCAAGCCCTTTAAATAATACAGTCAGAAGTCAAATCCACCAACTAATGAGCCATTGGAACCAAAGTCACACTTTATGCAGTTTTTAGCAGAGTAATATAGAAATTCTTATTTAAAAGCAGGGCTGTTCAGGAAACAACAGATGTAGGCAAGGATATGGAGAAAGAAGATCTCTTTTGCACTGCTGTAGAGAATGCAAACTGGTGCAGCCACTCTGAAAAACAGTAAGGAGGTTCTCAAAAAATTAAAAATAGAACCACCCTATGACCCAGCAATTGCACTACGAGGTATTTATCCAAGGGATACAACTGTGCTGTTTCGCAGGAACACATGCACCCCCATGTTTATACCAGCACTATCGACAATAGCCAAAGTTTGGAAAGAGACCAAATGTCCATCAATGGATGAATGGATAAAGAAGATGTGGTGCACGCGCACACGCGCGCGCGTGTGTGTGTGTGTGTGTGTATACACAAAATGGATTATTACTTGGCAATCAAAAAGAATGAAATCTTGCCATTTACTACTACATGGATGGAACTGGAGGGTTATGCTAAGCAAAATTAGTCAGTCAGAGAAAGATAAATATCATATGACTTCACTCATATGAGGAATATAAGATATAAAACAGATGAACATAAGGGAAGGGAAGCAAAAATAATATAAAAACAGGAATGGGGACAAAAAATAAGAGACTCAAATATAGAGAACAAGCAGATAGTTGCTGGAGGGGGAATGGGCTAAATGGGTAAGGGGCATTAAGGAATCTACTCCTGAAATCATTGTTGCACCATATGCTAACTAGCTTAGATATGGATTAAAAAATAAATTAATTAATAAAGTTAAAAAATAAATAAAAGAAGGGTTGTGTTTTTTAACTTTTTAATTCAGTGCTCAGAACTTAGTCTTCACAGAATTCGTATTATAAATGATAGTTAGGTTCCCAAGCTATCCCAGAAGTTTGTATTTAAATTACTAACTAGTTGAAATTTGCATTATTTTCTATCATTTTTGTCAAAAAAGTACGCACTGCAGCTCCTTCAGTCAGGTAAAAGAGGTTTTAAGTAAAAGTGTTTCTATGATGGATAGAGAAAAGAAACTTGAGGGTTTAGGTAAAAATTAGACCCCTACAAGCGTCAGGCACATGTTTCTGGCCATGTAGAATACTGTAACCCTGGGAAAGTATTTGGTCTCCATTTTGAGATACTGTCTTAAGTATCTTAAGATCAGGGAGACTGTAATGCTCGAAAATAACTGGTACTCAAGAAGTGATATTATATGAGTTTATGGCATGGGACTACATCTCAGATAACTGGGTATGGCTACCTTTTCCTAAGTTTTCCCCTAAGATCCCCTTCCTAGCCATTCCTTTGTTTGGAAAAGAAAATACCATACTCAAAGACACTTAATGCTTCAAAGGGAACTCTCTCTCAGCCTGTTCCCAACCAGGCCAACTATTTCTGTGCATGGCTGACTGTCATTCAGGGGCAACTATTTTTAATAATACTGCACTTTTAATGTGATAAAAGACCTCCCTGAACAACAAAACAAAAAAACAGCGTACAGTGTATCCATTTCATATCCTAAAGACCAAATGATAAGCATCTACCCATGTATTTTTTTTTAACACAGTTTGTTATTAAGAGCATTCTTCAAAAGTACATTTTCTAGATTTCACCATGCAAAGGGAATTTGTTTTTAAAAAAAAGTTCTCTGAAGTATCTCAGAGCAGATGAATAATGAGTTTCATTTCTTAAAATATTGCTTAGTAATACTAATATTTTTAGCCCTGCTAAAATAGTTCTGGACCAGTTGTCCCAGACAGTTTTCTAATGTGTATAATTAATAGTCTCAGGTAGATAGGGAGGTGGGGAAGAGTGCATGTTATTTTTACTGTCTTTTTTATACTTCAGAGATATTTAATTGTGTAGGTGCTGTTAGCTGTGTCACGGCTGCCTACCAATGTCTAAGCTTGAATATACCTCCACTTCATATTCTATGAAGCAGTTTCTCAGATGAAGCTTATGTTTTATGGAGATGATAATTTATTCACTTTATTGCTGGCTTCAATCTTGTCTCAGACATCAAGTAAACCCTTCCCTTGCCCCCAGTTTATAGCAAAAAATTTTGCTTTGCTCCTCACCCATAATTAACTGAAGCTCTTCCAAATGTCTTCTTAGAATTTTTTTAACACTACATTTTGCTACTGAAAAATATGAGATTTAATACTCATAATTTAGAGATTTGAATATCTCCCTATTAAAAAGCCGCCAAAGTTATATCAGTGTCCACTGTCACTTCGGGGTCAGTTTTGTACCCTTATTTAGAGTTCTTACTGAGAAGAGGGTTTGAAATAGAATTTTAGCTTTTAATCAGGGGTACAGTAAAAAAAAATTTAAATGCCCTTCCCTCCTCTTCCTCCTCTAATCTTACTACATGGTGTTTGTTATGCCTCAACTACCAACATAGAAATTCACAGACCTCTAGCCAGAATGCCACACCACCCCCTGAATCTTCAGACCACATGAACTAGATTCTGATTCAGATTCCTTTCAGCCCTACCATGTTGGGATTCTATGATTATTAATGTGTTCCGGAGAGCAGCAATAGACCAAGAGGGAGACGTAATGATAAGGAAATAGAAATGTAAGCAAAGTTTACTTTCTGATGGGCAAGGGGAAAATACTCATTAATAATTCAAAGACTCTCTATTTTCTACAGGCTAAAATTAGGAGTCAAATGATTAATTTCCAAGATTGATCCTATTCCACCAACCTAAAATGGCATCTCTGTCTTCTACCCCTAAAGCAGTGATTATCTTCACTATTTAATTCAATTTAACCCATCAGATTTTTATATTCAGTGATACTAACAAGGTGCTCTGGCTGATACAGATGATTATAATCCAGTACCAACACTCATACAGTTCAGATCTAGCATGTACTTTGTTATTGTATAAATTGACCTGTGACAAGTGCTCACAGAAGAACACACAAAAGGCTATCTTGTGTGTGCTTTGGAAGGATAAAGTATTCCCAAAGAAAGGGTATCATTTAGGTAAAGTGCTTACCACACCGTCTGGCTTATAGTAAATTCTTAATTACTGTTTGCTTTTGTGTTGATATTATTAATAGTTACCACTACCTGTTGATTTTCCCTCAACCTCAGTCATGTTATCTGTAAGATGGATACAAGAATATTATCTGTAAAATAAGAATACCGGCACCATCCCTGCCTACCCACCAGACCTGTTTGAAGATCTAACAAAATTACGAACATGATTCCTAACATGTCTCATTCATCTTTGACTGTCTACTGACTTATATAGTAGGAAATCAATACGTATTTAGGGGAGGTAGAAAGGAAAGCTGGAAGGAAGGGAGGGGCAGAGGAGAGAGGGAGTAAAGAATCACTCTTATGATAACTGAGATTAAGAGGTAGTTTTCTTTGTTTTATTTGTTCCTAGATTTATGTCCTTAGGTAGTCCTTAACCTCTCTTAGATTCAGTTTTCCCCATCTATAAAATAGAACTGTTTTTAATATCCCTTACCTTCCTTACTAAATGAAACAATAAATATAAAGTGTTTATCAAAGGATCTGAAATATAAAAAATTCCAGTATAACACATTTTTTACACAATGTTGAGCTTTGCCTTGTTTTCTATTTGTTTAGTTGATTGGTTTTGTTTTAATACATTTGCTAATTTGTTTTCAAGATATGGTCTGCTTCATATTTAAATTAACATTAACATTTTGTTTTGGCAAACACAGAAAAGAGAGAACTTGCCACTTTCTCAGCTTCCCAACTTATCCTCTAATATGGCTCAGAAACTCAAGTGAGCCATATTGAAAAATGAAATTCACTTTCACTGGAGGGACATCTACTATGCCAGGTTATCAGCCTGTTTTATGCCATTTCCCTCTTCATTCTACAAGTTTTCCACAGCTGAATTTATTCTGATAAAGCATAGAATTTTATCCTAATTCTCTTCCTGTTTTTCACAATTCCAGTGTGCTTGCTGGCAGAAACAAATAAAACTAAGCAGTCATTGAAATGTTCTAATGGAATCACACTAGAAGCACAAACAAATAGGATCAGGTATCTATTGCTTTAGGAAGATGGTAATGGAAACAGTGCTTCAGTTCATAGAAAAATATCAACAAAGCAGATGGCTGAGAAGGCACTGTTCCTTTATCCCTCACACAACATATTCTTGCATATTTATGACAGAACTAAAGAATTCCAAATGTGGAAACATGCTGAATTGTTTCCAATCAAATATGTAAATAATTGTTGAGCTCACATTGTGAGAACTATAATGGATACTACTTAATATAAACTCGAAAGATAGAATTGTGGCCAGTGACAATTCGTTAGCCTCAATGGTTTTTCATCATTACCTGGGCGACCACTTCATGAATGACACAAACGCCTGATGAAAGTATTCCACAAAACAACAGCGATGATAACAGTAAGCCCCAGAACACTGCTATATCCCCACTCTACAACAAAGAGTTGGTGATTAGTAAATATTTATTTAGTGAATAAATATATAAGAAGAACTGGTTTGATCCAATAATTTCTAATACCCCCTCTAGTAGTAGAAACTGGGCAGATCTGATGTCTGATTAATACTGGATGTTAGCACCAGCAAAACACATAGGGAGGGAAAACAACAACAAAAATATAGAGATTGAAGATGGCAGGTAGATTTCTAGAGAGCTCTTCAGAATTTAGATAAATCTTTCCCAACTCTCATTTCTACCTCATTACATATACTTCATGAATACCATATTTAGGGCAAAGTTGGACAGTTTGGGATTCTTCATAGCCTCCCAGGAACACAAGAGTCCCAATCAAGGATGCTCTAGGGAATTCCACCAGGGACAGATGGCACCTGAGTACTAACATACACACCCACGTATCACCATATGATTAAAAAAGGACTCTAACAAAGTTGGAATCACCTCCCTCACTGCCTTGATAAGAGAAAAAGCTGAATGAAAACAAAGAACATGACTTAAAGCTAGAAGTGAGCTTAGTAGATTTTGATTCTCATAAACCTGCAGGGAATTTGCTACAGCAAGAGCATCGTTATGAAAACAATAATCAACAAGTATAAATCATTTATGAGAATAGGCACAGACTTATTTTGTGTTGTTGATAATGTTGAAGCCACTGAAACATTAATACTGAATTATGCAATACTCATCATAAGACCTTTTAATCTTATTTATGTGTCTTGTAAACTTCTATAAATTGTATTTTCCACAAAACCAAATGTAGAGCACTAAACTGGATGTCAAGAGCAAAGGAACTATCTACATGTACAGGCACACATTCTATGATTCTATATACCATATCTATCCACCCATCTCTACCTACACACACACACACACACACACACACACACACACACATATGCACACATGCATGCACAGCCCCTGCTTAGTTAGCACAATGCTTTGCTCCTATAAGTATGTCAATTTTATTTGGGATTAGGAGAGTTCACTTGATTAAAATTCACAGCCTTCATTCCTTTTTTTAAATTTTTTAATAGTTTATTGTCAAGTTGGTTTCCATATAACATCCAGTGCTCATCCCAACAAGTGCCCTCCTCCATGCCCATCAGCCCCCATTCCCTCCCCCTCACTCCATCTGCCCTCAGTTTGTTCTTGGCATTCTCTCATGGTTTGCCTCCCTCCCTCTCCCCCACTATTTTCCCCCTTCTTCTCACCCATGGTCACAGCCTTCATTCTTAAACCATGCATCCAAAGTGACAGCAATAAGCTCTTTAAACTACTCTTCATATGAGTACAAAAAATCCAAACATATTGGTTGTATAAAATTCTGAAACCCATTTGACTTGTTACATCCAGAATGATTGTTTTAAAGCATTAATTTAATCATATCAATTCCCTAAACAAACTCTTCTGTTGTCCCTAAAGTCCAATTCTTTTAATATAAGGGGTTTTAATATAACTTTTCATGTTCATAATCTGACCTCTGCTTACCTAATAGGTAATCCTGGTCCCTTGAACTTTTTGCTCCAGTCCTGTCTATAGCTCTCTGAGCCAATCATCCTCTCTCCATTCCTTCTGTCTAGAACATTTTCTACCTCTGTTAGCCAGTCTAATCCTGCTTCTCCTTTAGGTCCCAGGTTGAACTCACTTCAGGAAACGCTTTCCTGTCTGAATTAGGTATCCCTTCTCTGTCCTCCAGTGCCAACATGTAGACTTAATCATAATCTGTGCTTAATGTCTGTTCTTTTGTCTCTATCCTGTACTAGACCACTTGAAGGAAAAGACCACATTTTGATCACTATTCTATACTCAGCACCTAGTGCTTAGCGCATGTTAAGTGCTAAGTAAATATTGATCAAATAACTGAATGGGGGCAAGAAGCCAGCTAAGCACCAACAACTGTGGGTGGTATCTGGGCAAACCATCAGGTGAATTAACTCTGCTCTAAAGCTTTATTCACATTAAAAGGGGCCTAGCCACCGGTCACTATACCTAGATTCAAAGCTCAGCTCAAGCCCTGATTATTTACTTACAAAAAGCTCCTACCCCACATCTCTGAACCTAAAACGTTTTTAGTGGTCACACGTGGTGATGCGTGACTTGGCTTCAGACACCCACCTCATTAGTCTCTTCGGAGAAGGCCTGCAGAATGTCCGTCTGCCGGGTGTAGTTGCCATTGGCGTCCTGCAGACCCTGAAGGATGCGCTCCCTCAGGACCAGCACCGAGACTCGGAGCTGATGCCAGAGGAGCTGCACAGCGTGGATGTCCACAATCACATTGACCGAGTAGGACAGCAACTTCAGGGAGAACTCTGTTTCAAGGAGGGCATGGATTTGCTCAACATGATCAGAAATGTCTTCACAAATGTCCTGTAAAGAAAAACAAAATGCATGAAGACTGTTTTGCCTTAACCTAGGTACAGTGGCGGGGAGGTTAGGGGGGAGCAGAGCGGGAGTGATAAAAAAAAAAAAGTCACTCCTTCACTTGACACTGATTGTGAGAGCCAACAGGTCCAGCAAACTGCAGGTTGGATAACTTGCCTTTATTGTTTTTTAATTTTTGAAAAATTTTTAATATAATTTATTGTCAAGTTAGCTAACATACAGTGTACACATTGTGCCCTTGGCTTCGGGAGTAGATTCTCGTGATTCATTTTACGTACAAAACCCAGTGCTCATCCCAACCAGTGCCCTCCTCAATGCCCATCACCACTTTTCCCCTCTCTCCGACCTTCCCCCATCAAGCCTCAGTTTGTTCTCTGTATTTAAGAGTCTCTTATAGTTTGCTTCCCCCCCTGTTCGAAACTATTTTTTCCCCTTTCCTTTCCCCATGGTCTTCGGCTAAGTTTCTCAAATTCCACATATGAGTGAAAACATATGATATCTGTCTTTCTCTAAATGACTTATTTCACTTAGTGTAAATTATCTATTCATCAGTTGATGGACGTTTATGTTTTTAAATGTTTATTTATTTTTGAGAGAGAGAGAGACAGTGTGAGGAGGGGAGGGACAGAGAGAAAGTGAGACACAGAATCCGAAGCAGGCTCCAGGCTCTGAGCTGTCAGCACAAAACCCAATGCAAGGCTTGAACCCACGAACCGAACTGTGAGATCATGACCTGAGCTGAAGTCGGACACTTAACCAACTGAGACACCCAGGCACCCCTGTTGATGATCATTTAACTTGCCTTTATTTTATATCAGATACATAGTTGCAGGCCATATTCTTAGCCAGCTGGATCTTTAGTGGATGGAGGTAAGTTGATCTTTTTCTAAACCACAAAAATGATACTATTCTTTCAGATTCAATTCTTTAAGATTGATTGAAAGTTCAGCTAAGGTAAGAGGTCATTTCACAAATCCACTCTCTATTCTCTTTAGTTACTGTTAGTTTGTGATCCTGGCGAGGGACCCAACAGCTGTTCTCTTTGCTAGTGGCGAGCTCCTCTGAGCACACAATATTTCAGGATAGAGACGTCATCCAGACAGGTAGCAGAGAGAAAGCTAGGCTAGAATGTGCATTTCATAGGAACTCTCAACCATTCTCAAGGAGCCATGGGGTCTTTGATGTAAGAGACAATTGTTACATTCCCACAAGAATATATTTTCATCCTTAAATTCATAATGAATATCTCAATTTCAACCCACACTTTGTAATCAGAATCACTCTTTTTTAAAACCTTTTTATTTGGTTATACTTGACACACAATCTTACATTAATTTCAGGTGTACAACACAGTGATTCAAATCCTCTAAACATTATACTATGCTCCCCGCAAGTGTAGCTACCATCTGTCACCATACAACACTATTACAATATCATTGACTGTATTCCCTATGCTGTGCATTTTATCCCTGTGATACTTATTCATTCTATAACTGGAAGCCTGTATCTCCCAATCCCATTCCCCCATTTTGCCCACCCCCCATCCTCCCCTTCCCTCTGGAAACCATCAATTTGTTCTCTATATTTATAGTTCTGACAGAATTATTCTTAAGAAAGAAAGTCAGAAAAACTCCAAGGACAAAGAAAGACAAAATACAGTTGTGTTTTTAAGACCTGGACATTTTAAATAAACCACATTACTAATCAAAGTTTCAATCTCCTCCACACATACTATTAGGTAGGCAGATTCGGTGTCTGATATGTCACTTGTCCTTACAATTTCCCAAATTTCCATTGTGCTGTCAGAGGTTAGCAGCACAAAATGGGTAGCATCGATGGTAATATTTACTTGAGCAATTTGAGTCCATTAAGCATCAAAAGGATGTACATGTCAGCTAAAGTACTCAGTGACTCATGTTTAGTTATGCATCAGTGATTTTTTTAATGGGGCTTTTATTTATGCTTTTTTTATTAAGGCTAAAATGTAGAGTAACATCTGAAGTCTGAGCCCCAACACGAGTATTCAAACAGTCAGTCTCTCTATGCTCTAAACATAAACTTTCAGTTTCATATAATTCAATTCCTTAAAAAAAAAAAAACTAAAATGGCATCTGTATTTAATATGTAATAGTAGGCAAAAAAATCTATTGAAGAATGACAGAAAGTTATGCTGAATTTTTAATAAAAATTATTGTATAATTCCAATAAATGCTCCAATTTATTTCTTGAAACTCAAGAACTAATTGGTGATAGTTATGTAAACTGGTGGTATAATTTGAAGTAGATTAAAAGTTAAACAGACTTTGGAATCCTAATTAGGTAAAGTTCTTACTAATTTGGCCCATGAGCACATGCAATCCAAAAAAAGACGTGGGGCAAAAATCACATTACCTTAACAACCAGTACATGGGAACCACTCAAAGCCAGATTAGCCAGTATCTGCTGGCCTTCAGCACATAAGGGCAGGCCTCTGACCGCTATCATTAAATAGTCAATAATGCCTGGGGTCTCAACAGATACCTCCTTGGAGCATCTACTCCATTTATCCCCCATACCTCTTATTCTTGATACCTCCACCACCACCCCAAAGCAAATGTCCTGTATCATTTGCCCTCTTAGCATGCTCATTTCCATGTAGTACTGTGTTACTACAGTACAGAGAGGACTCTCTTCCTCTCACTGCTGACCTCTTACAAACACCCTGTACTTTCCTGGCGAATACTCCCATTCCATTACATAAAAAATTCTCCATAACTTTTTCACATGTATCTCCTGCTCTTACCCAAACTGACTCTGTCCTAGGTTCCTGCTTCCCCCACTGCCTTCCCAGTAGAAGCTATGCATTCTCCCGGCCCTCACCTGAGAGACAGGGAGGGAAGGGTTAATGGGGGAAGGGCAAGCCTCACTGCTTCTTTACCACTTTCTGATCATTACTCTTTTCCCTCATACTAACACCCTTCATTTTCACTAGGTGTCTACTGTCTGCTAAGCCTTCCCATCTTCCTTCTTCATTGCTGTCACCTATATTCTTCTCTTTTGCTCCTCCACACTGAAGAATGCATGTGGTTCACTTTTCCTCTCCATATTGAGCAGACCATTACCTGAGGTAATATTCACACTGATGAACCAACCAAAACCTCAAATTTCCTTTACTCCACAAATCTTAAGACCTTCATGCCTATTCCACTGGAACAACTCTGCTATATCTCTACTCTGGACCTTATCACCACTCTACCAGTAGAATACTATCAGAAAGTCCCCTATGCTCCCAAATTCTCTTTGTCTGACTTTTTCACTCCCATTCTCCCACTACAGGTGTTCTCCAACCTTTTCTAGGCAACCAGACCCCTCCACCCCTTTTTGTCATAAACCATCTTCTCTTAGCACAGCCTCTACAATGATTACTTCAACTACTCCCTTGGCAGTGTTCTCCACTTCCTCACATTCTTGATGTCCTTACTTGGATTTGTTAATATCAGTCTCCTGGGACCTACTATGATCCTGCAGATGCAGAATACATTATATACCCAGGAGAGGAAAGGGCTTAGGTAACCATTATGCCACCACCTGCCCAGAATAGCCAGATAGTCATTTCTCAACCACCCCTCTCCCATCTTCCCATACAATGTGTTATATACAGTCTTAGACCATCAAAATGACATGTCATCACTCCTCTTACACATCATTTGGTTCCTTCATGATGAATGTAGGGATTTAGTCAGACCCAAGCCATGGTCAAGACTTCCAGGCAACTATCCAGGGGAAAGAATGTATAAGGGGCACTAAAGCATCAATGGTGACAGTTAACTAAGGTCTTCACACCTTCCTCATTACATATCTGTGAAAAAGAAATTACCCCTGTTCCTACAGAAGCAGATAGGCCCTGAGATAAAGAAACACTCTCCCCACAAGACCTGGCTTCTCTCTATTGAGTATTTTGGCAGTGTGCACATACAGTGTCTGCTGAAATTCTGAAACTAAATAATGCATGGCATGGTGCAACTTTCTGGGGCATATTCATTTATTTAATCATTTGTATCCCCCCTACTCTGCTACCAGGTGTCTGGTTTGACAAGATTACATGCACACACAAACTGTAGAACAAAAATTCCAGATATATATGTAGGTTGTGTGTGCATGTGTGTGTGCGTGTGCGTGCGTGCGTGTGTGTGTGTGTGTGTGTGTGTGTGAAAGTGTGTACACCCTCCTCCAAACATAAAACTATACTTGGAATATTCGATGAGAGGTTTGTTTAGAGAAATAACTGAGTGATTCTCAATCGTACATACTTTTTAATAATATAAAATCTGCTTTTCTCTGTCCTTCTACATAAATGCCAACAAAACATTTAAAGAATAATAAGCTTAAAGCTTCTGAGCCTTAGAACCTTAACTGTTGCCAGTTTGTTGTACATTTATATGAAAGAAGCTGAATGTTATTGATACTCTGTTTATTTTAATGCAGTCAGCTAACTAGGTATTAGAAACTTCTAGGGGTACTTCAGGGGACTCAATCAGTTAAGCGTCCAACTTCGGTTCAGGTCATGATCTCATGGCTTGTGAGCTCGAGCCCCACATTGGGCTCTGTGCTGACAGCTCAGAACCTGTAGTCTGCCTCAGATTCTGTGTCCCTCTCTCGCTCTGCTTCTCCCCTGCTCATTCCCTGTATCTCCCTCTCTCAAGAATAAATAAAACATTAAAAAATACTTTATTAGAAACTTCTGAAAAGGATTTGCTAAATGACTTCCTTCCAGCAGAGACTGTTTGGAATTAAAAGGCTCTGAGAGATATGACCTGTTGGAGGCCCTGTGGGCACTAGATTAGCAAGGTGACGTGGAAGAATGTGAGGTGGTGGGGGGAGTGGAGGGTCAGACCAGAGTCAGCCAGATGCATAGAAGGAATCACTAGTGTTCAGCCTTGACCAGACATGTGACTCAAGTAGATAGCAACTGGAAACTGGATTAAACTCACATGGCCAAACTGCTC